GGAGACACACGGCAGACAAAGAGAGAGAGAGCGCGCCCAAAGGTGGAATTTAAAAAAAGCAGGTGTTCAGGTAGGAAAAGAGCCGACTGCGGCAGAGTCGTGATACGAGGAGCAGATGTGATGGAAAGACAACGGCTGCTTTTTTTTCACCTGGCACTTAATCAGCACTGACAGAGCACATTGTTTTCAAATCCTCCTCGCAGTCCCTCCAGACGCTAGATTATTTTTGCACTGGCAATTTGGGATTTTAGTTAAGCTTATTTGTGTGTCGCACAAATAAGAATAAGCTACATGTAAATGAGGAAGATCCGCAGCAAAGCGGCGCTCGTCTGCTGATCTTGGCCAGCCGAGTCGAGATTTGTGAACTGGATCAGCCCCGCACTGCTGGAAACAAACACTGTTGAATGTGAGCAGAATTCCTGTCTCACAAGTGAAAATGTGAAGCTAATTTGGCTGTACATGCTATATCATATAGGTTTAGTTAATGATGGTTGTAGAGTAGTCTTTGGCATAACTATCACAAATTAGAAAGACAGAGTTACTGAACGGAGGGCAGACAGAGGACATGGGAATGTAAATTGTGAAAGGCAGAGATAAAGAACAGTACGGACGATACCACTGGAAGGAAAAACTGCGTGGAGGAGTTCCCATCGCCGTGCCCTCCGCTGACTCCACATGGGCAACATCATCAGGCTAATTACCCCAGTAATTACTGTACTAATGCCGCACAAGGCCTCGAGGCATCCTGTTTTGATTGAGGCCACTGGAAGTCTGGCAGCTCGGGCGGGGGGGGGGTTGAATAGCAAAGCCCTCGAACTGCTGCCAAGCGCCGCGCCATTCAACATCTGTCATCCCTGGCCTTTCAGCGGACGTGTCCGAGTGTGTGCTTGTCGGGGTCTGAGAGGTACACACTGTACAAAAACAATGACATTTTCAGAATGCTCAATAGCACCCCCCCTCCCACACTCACTCTGGACTGGCATCATACTGGTGTGTCGCTACCAACGACCACTTCACCTTTTTAATGACTGTAATCGGAGAATTAAGTGGCCGTGTACCCTGAGGCCCTCCGCTGCACCTGCCCACCGTTATCCGCCAGCAGCAACACTTCAACCCACTACTCTATAGGAACATCAGAGTTCAGCCTCTATGTTTTGCTCTAGAGATAGTAGTTCATAATTAAATCACAATTAGTCCACGCGTGATCAATTTAGGACGTGAAAAAGACTCAGGGTGGCATACGATTATGGTCATTTCATTTCGACTAACAGAAGAGGCTCCATCATGTTGTTCCTGCATCAATACTGAATCACATAACTTCCGACCATGTGAAGGGTTGCTAATATAGCCAATGTTCTCTGTTCTCAGCCACTTTCAGCTCACTGTGTTGGTCAGCATGGTCCCTGATGTAAGTGGCCTTCCCTTATGAAACTCTGCACATCCACTGCTCTCTGACAAGCTCACTAATGCTGACTTATACACTATCCGCACAGCATCCTGATAGAGGAAACCCAATATAGAACCAACTTTATAAGTGGCTGATCTCTCCATTATCTCTTTCACTCAGCTACCAATAACCTAATCTTAGCACTGGGACAGACAATAATGACTCAATGCGTCACGCAGCCATTTTATCTTTCGAGGTATTTCATGATCCCCACATCCAATCAGATGGCATGCATGTCTCAGATGGTGACTAAGCCAATGACATCAAATGGAGAACACATTGCCTCCAAAAAGAGGTTTTTGTCTGTAGCACACAACCGATCGAAACAGATGTGAAGTAAACGACGTAACAGCTGTGGAGTAGAGAGTCCATTTGGAGCTGTAGAAATGCTTCTCTCTTGCTCTCTAAGTCCAGACTAAGGGAAGATCTTCGCTCACAGGGACACAATAGATTCTGTATTCTTGGATTTCACAATTATTGTTATTATTATTATTAGCAAAGGTGCGGGTTCACAAATGGATCCGGTGCTGAGAACAGACAGTTCTATCACTCATAATTCCTCCATGAAAAACCTCGCCAGTGCCATTTAATTATACGATATCTGTATACATACGCAACACGTTCTCCGGCTGTCTTTCCTGTGTGTGTGTGTGTGTGTGTGTGTGTGATGTGCATGCCCGAATGATTACGTGTGAGCACACTCTGTGCCGTTTTCTCTTAAAGCAATCCAGACGACCCGCAGAATATCAATCGCCTTATTGGAAGAATTGGGAACCACTGAGTGTCCTGCCCGCACGCGTGTTCAGAGGCCTGCGGGACTTCTCCGCGCACATGATGGGTTTAAAATCCGCCTTGTTTGTTTCCTGTGGGTTTCCGGTAAATCAGGAACTAGTGACGAACAACTGCTTGGTTTATGAAAGAATGAAAATGAAGGAACATTGACACCCCCCCCCCCTTACTTTGATTATGTGGTGACTCGGCCCCGTTCACACATAAATAAAAGTCACAAACATATGTATAGAGGTACAACAGAACACAAACCTGCGTGTTTCGATGGTACATATCAGGCACATCGCCTCCCTGAGACTTGTGACTACAGGCTTTGTCTTTTTTTTTTCCCGGATGGAGACCTCCTTCAGGTATAATTTGTCTTCATCTTAAGATGCTTTCCAGTAGCATGAAGGTGACTTCAGATCAGTGCCCGGTGGTCAAACCAATAGCGGCCGAGCAGTGAGAGCAATGATTTGTGGCGTTATCAGGCGACAAACTACCAAAAAAAAGAGTTTTTTTAACAGGACATAGCACTGTCTGGACATATACGTAATAGTTGAGTCACATGCGTCCATACACACACTTGTACGTACACACAGACGCACAACAACATCCGCTATCTAATCCTACAGAAATACACTGTATGTCTTTGTGGGAGCAGCTGTGAGAAAGTGGATTTATTTTTGTCTGCTGGATAAAACAGTTCTGTATTCTGCTAATGCTATCAATGTTTTATAGCAAGAGGGGGGGGGGACCTTCAGCACGGAAATGATACACTTAGGTAATTAACTTGGTGTGCACTCTGGCAGCCTTTCAAACGGGTACATTCTCTTTCTCTCTGTGCCTTATACTTCAACATTCTTCAGTATGTGTTGCTGCATCATTGTTCTGATATTAAGGCGTTGTTGTTGTTCTGCTGTAAATGAAAACATAACCCCCCCCCCCCACATACCCAAGTTCAAACAACGACACCTGCCTCTGAAAGCCGGAGACAGATGACAACAAGGTGCTGTTAACCGGAACAATGCTTCCTCCCCCTTATATAACCTTTTCTGATGATCTGTTAATATGTTCTTTTTATTTTTGTCTATTTTCCACCTGGCTGGCAACAGTCCCTGTGGAGCTGCACATCAAAAAAGGGACGTTGAATAGAAGCATCCGCCGCAAGCAGTAAGTGGGTAAACCGATGAATGCGATGTGATGTTGCGGTATCACAGCGCAGGGATAAATGCCCTCTAGTGCTGCGTGCCTTTATGAGACAAGACTGCGTGACATCTCACCCCAAAACACACGCGGCAGGTCATCAGATCCAGCGCCGTCCCCATTGCACCACCATGAGTGGGATAAAAGTTTGTTTTATCTGCTTCTTTCCTTTCTTTTCAGTTCTGTGATGAATCTCCAACTTCAACTCGGCCCACGAGATGTGTCAAGGGCGACTTGATTAAAAGTCCTTTTGGGTTCCGACGTGTTAACTCCAAACTGAAATCCAGGCGATTCGTTCAACTACTCATGTCTAAAGATTACATACATGCAATATCTCCTTTCCAGACACATTTTAAACAGCATGCATCCACATCCAGCTCTATACTTTACAAGAAAAAAAAAGCGTCTCCCACCAGACTATCCTCTACCTACGCTGGTGTCCTCTTACACCTGTGACACCGGAGAACCAATTACAAAGTTCAGGCTGGTAATGAGGTCTCCAGTTACCTGATCCAGTGACCGAGGGACAATATAGAGGTCTTCAATCATTAATGCACATTCACCTGCCCATGTGCGGCATCACTACCCCCCTAAAAGTTCCCATAGATCACACACTGAGGGGCCAAGTCACAAAAGGGTCCGCTAAAACTGTGCACATCAGACAAAAAAAGAAACCGCGTGATTCTCAGAGCGCCCGCAGAGAGTGAACGGCACCCCTAACTGTGCTGCTGAGCAAATAGCGCCTCATGCTCCCATGCTATATTTAGGTCATTTGACAAAATCTGACCTTTTCTATGCAAATGAGCCTCAGTCCAATGGACACTATGGCTATTAGCGATCTAATAGCCACACAGTTAAGTGAAATTATCAGCGTCTTCAGAGAGTTGGAAGCGCATTAATAAGGGGTGTCCGCTCAAACTCAATTATTTTTAATATCTTCTGTGGCAGATAAAGGTTGCAAATGTCAATCAATTCTTTGTTAATTTGCCGCCAAACTGTATTTAAATTATAACAAAACATACAAACATACACAAAAGTACAGTCACAAGTAGGACAATTATTGTTTCACAATTAGATAAAATATGGAGAACTTGGTCAGGGATCAACACTTTTAGAAGATAAAAACTAACCAGCGGCTTTAGGTTGCCACGGTTGAGCTAGAGTGACGATATTTTCCATTGATTCATAATTGGAGTAAAAAAAAAGTCACGTGCAATGGATTGATTTGGTATAACATCCTAAAGAAAACAGGGGTAAGGTAAGAGAGGTTGTGAGAGGAAAAGAGACACTAGACGCGAGGTACAGCACAGGGAGACAGAGAGTCACGGTGTCTTCACCATATGTATCGTAGCAACCTCTAAATCACTTTCAATCCACACAACACTTGTGCCGTGTGTGTGGTACTGTGTCGTGTGTGTGTACCTGCGCCGGCGTGGGTGTACGTGTGAACATGTGTCAGGAGGAAATCACTGCTTTGGTTATGGGATGTGTGAAAGCCAAGGTGACTATTTTGAGCCAAACTCTCACCTAGATTTAGTAAAAGAAAAAAAAAGGGGGGGGAGTAAGGAATCAAACTTACAAACTTCCTCTTCAGCTTGCCCTTGCCGCTACGGGTCGGCTTGCTCTCGACGACGGCCGCCGGGCTGTAGTCCGAGCCCATGTCCAGGTGGTCGTCCGCCGAGACGCTCTTGCGGAGGTAGGCGGCTCGCGCCCGGAAGTGGGAAAAGGGAGACTGAGAGCGAGGACGGGCCTCGGGGCAGCCGCCGTGCTCGGGCCCATCTCCGCCCTCCATGTCATCCTCCAAACGCCACAGCTCGCCTGGAGGAGAGTAGATGGGAGGAAAGGAAACGAATGATGGGATTAAGGGAACAGTCAGGAAGTAACGAGAGAAGAAAAGAAAGAAAAAGGAAAGAGAGGGGGTTGGAGATCAAGAGCAAGACAGATTGGACAGATAATGAATATGTATTTCTGCAATGTGATCATTGCCAACGTACTCCACAAATTGTGGAATGTCATCCACTTAACTTTGCTTCAATTGCTTTCATGAAACATTTCCTGGATGTAATCAAGCTTCCTTTAAAGGTGGAATATCTTACAAACATCATTCTCAGCCTGCCTCCTTAACAACTTGATTACGATTCCATACGCTCGAGAGAAATGGCGCCTCGTGTATAATAAAGAGGAAGAAACACATTCTGCGGCTCTGATGTGATGGCTGAGCCGTCGCAGTCACACAAGAGAGATGGATAGGCGCTGTCAGAACGTAGCTCCGCTGCACCCGCCAACCACAGCCGAGGAAAACACTTACTGGTCTTTCACTTTCTTATCTGATGCATGCTGGGTAGGCTATGGGAACTCTGTCAAATGTATTGCTAACACTGTAACCTGAACAGCTGTAGAGTTTTAAGCCAGCTAAGTTGCTCACATCTGCTGCTGACACAGTAAGATAACACTGGTTTCATGAATGAAACATTGGGTTTGTTGCTGACATTATCACAATGGGTGTGTACTATCCTCAAGTACGTTATGGTATTGTGAGGAGTTAATATAGCGTGAGCGTCAAGTATGAAAGTAGAACATCAGCTTCTTTTCTTGCTTAAATGATTATTTCCCTCCTTACGGTCCTTACGTACATGGCTGGATGTGTGATGTATGATGTGTTGTTTTACATTTACATGTCACTGATCTTAATTTGACGCCATATGTTTTATTTTTTTCTTATTAAGATTATAAAAACATTACTAAATTGAATTGTGACTGACATCAGACAACATATTTATTTTTCACAGTTGGATCCTAGATCAGTTTACATAGACCTACAAATAGAGATGTTGAAGTTGTCAAGCCAGCAAAAGATTTTAGAGCCTTACCCAACTTTCTGGAGTGACTGTCCAACGTTTTCAATAACTTGCGTACTAAGACTTTGTGTCAGACAAATTTATATTAAGCCTTAGAATCGCATTGTACCGACATCTTCAATGGAAAGATCAAAGACCAAAACACATCCGGCTTCCAAAGCTGAGCCGAGTAACACTGCAGCAAAATGACTCGGGAGCAACTCCCACTGCAGGCTGCTCGGCATACTAGTCACTAATACGGGATGTTGCCTAAATCCGTGAAGGAAGTGTAGCTGGGTTATTAAAAACAACTTGAATTTAAAAAATCAAAAAAGTTTTCTCAGCCCTGCTGCAGAGATTAAGAGAGAGAGAGAGAGAGATTAGAGCAAGAGAGAGCAAGAGAGAGAG